GCACGAGGCTGCTGAGAAGAGTCCAGAGTCAGAACGTGAAGGCGCAGCATGACGATCAGACAGAAGGTGGAGAGGAACTGAGTGCACACCGTGGGCAGCCGTGCGCCTCAGGGTGATTCTGTCTCTGCTCCTCAGGCTTCGCCTCGCCTGCAGTGACCGTATCGTCCGTCTGGAAGGTTCTCGCCGCCATTATTCACATTCCGCCCCCCGCCCCAAACCAGCCAGTTCTTCCCTTGCCGTGAGCTCCCGAGATGCCACCACACGTGCAGCTGTGGGGACCCCGTCACGCTCAGGACAGGAAGGCATCTGCCGTTTTTCTAATCCGACCGAATGGTCAAGGGAATTGTCCCTCAGAGCCAAATTATCCAAAGTGCTCCAGGATTCAACAAAGCAGCACAGAAAGGACTTTACATTTTTAGAAACGTATCTCAGAAGCAGGATATGTTAGGAAACGGTTCTGTGTTGAAGATGGCCATGAACATGAGCATCTTCTCTAGTCTGGAAAGCAAATCACTGCGTTCTTCCTCACGGAATTGTTTTTCCCGTCAGCGGACAGATCCGCACGTGCTCATAAGGACACACATTTACACACACAGACACTGATGGTATAGACATGTGTGTGCATACCATTTAAAGTTGTATTCTTTTTAGTGGGTGAACTATGAAATTAAACCATAACTTATGAGGCATTAAGTGACCATGTTATCTAAATTTTCAAATTGTAAGAATCCAAAAAATATTTACCACAGGATGTACAAACTCTGCTGTTAGAAAAGTCTATGATCCCTGAATAATACCTTTCTTACCTTTAATATAACAAAGGAACTTTCATTTAATAAATGCAGACCAGGCCATGCCAATGTATTTTGAAAATAAAATCCTCCATGCAAAAGACCAGGCCAACTGGACAAAATATAATTTTGATGAATTAAATTTGAATTTAATGTAATCTGAAATGAATTACTCAGATATTCTTCCCTGTTGTTCAAACAAGCAGAAAGTGATAAAAAAAAGAACACGAGCAGAGTTTGACCACATAACCACCACTTACTGAAAATCATCGAATCTTTCTGGGCCTGACTTTCTAGTGAGCACAACAATGAAATGGTTTCTCCCTATCTCACACAAACACTGAAGATCCAACATAATCCCGAACCTTAATATACATGCTAGATGTGTACATTGTTGGCAATATTTTGTTCATAGGTAACTACGATGCTGGAGGATTCTTGGAATTAAAATAACTATCTAATTCCCAGATTACAAATAATGGTCCTTCTATAATCTGGGGGCCCTGTTGTAATAATCCAGGGGTTTATCTAAAACAAAACCTCCTGGACTGCACAGTCCAATTTATGTTAGAGCGTACGCTGCCCCAGATAAAACAATGACCCCACCCCACGAGCAGAAATGGACTCTGCATCTGCTTGTAAGGCTGATGTCATATGGGCCCTTCACGATGCCCTGCTTCCTCATGTTAGATGGTGGCCTGCTGTTGTGGACGTGCATGTGTGTGAGCCAGACTCTTGGCATTGTCCAGAATGCTCTCCTCTGCCTCTGTCACGCTTGCGTCGCTTCTCTCTTAACTGAAGTCACTGCCTCTGCCTCTATTTGCTAAGATAAAGGCACAATCCAACTTGGAGGGAGCCCGCTGGCAGCTCAGGGGTATGATGGCCACTGAGAGCAGAAACCAAGGGACATGAAACATTGACTCAACAGGGTGACCCAGAGCTCCGGCTACCAGACAAGAGAGGGACAGCCCCTGCTTCTCACAAGGGTGTGACTTCTGCCAAATCGACTCAAGGCGTGGACAGAGGCACACAGTATGGGATGCCCTGGACTCACTCCGCGTTTCTCACGGTAAAGATGTTATCAATGCCGGCACTCAACCTTTGTTGGCAGTGATTTTCGCACTAAATTTACCAGGAAGGTAACATAGAACATATTTGGTAAGTGAGGACATGGAAACAGGAGATTGTCAGGTATATGAGTGTTTGATCAGCAAATCACTTGGCCTATGGGGGTCTTGGACCACGTGATCATGGGCGCCCTCCAACAGACTTCTCTGTATTGCAGCAAATCTCAGTGAAGCAATCTCTAGAAAACAGGAACCTAAGTGATTTCTTCTTAGGAAAGATACTTTTGCTTGACTCAGAAATCGAGCCAGCCTTTGGTGCTTCCCTGCAGAGAACTAGCAACAATCAGAACCACAGCAGAAGGTTGTCCCATGGGCCATCACTGTTTGATCCGAGTGACTCCTCCGGACTTAGGATTCAAGCGAAAGCCCCTCTGAAAGGGGGTAGATTTTTACACTTTGCTGCCAAGGATACTCAGTCAATCGGAGGTATTAGTCTTAGAAGGTGCTTAGCTGGGGAGCTGGATGCTGAATATGAATGCTGAATCCAGGAACCTGACAAATGACTATTTATCCTCTTAATGGGCATTTGCCTTCCAAGTATGTCCTTGTATGCTTCAGATTCTCACTCAGTGTTTGCTGGTCACCGTGCTAGTTGGGTCCTGCAGATAGACACTCAGGGCCTGCATCATCCTAATGTACCCATTCACTTCATGGTTCTATCATACATTCACTTATGCTCATTCACTTGAATGTTTCTAGAAAAATGTCACTAGTTTTGATCTTCTATCTCACTTTTAAAAACAATTATGTTCTAAGCATTCAAGTTAGAATAATAATGTAAAAAAAAAAAAAAACCTATCTCAATGTCCACAATAGCCAAACTATGGAAAGAGCCAAGATGTCCTTCAAGAGACGAATGGATAAAGAAGATGTGGTCCATATACACAATGGAATATCACTCAGCCATCAGAAAGGATGAATATTTACCATTTGTATCGACCTGGATGGTACTAGAAGGTATTATGCTGAGTGAAATAAGTCAAACAGAGAAAGACAATTGTCATATGGTTTCACTAATATGTGAAATATAAGAAACAGCACAGAGGATCATGGGGGAGGGAGGGAAAAATAAAATAAGATGAAAACAGAGAGGGAGACACACCGTAAGAGGCTCTGGACTCCGGGAAACAAACTGAGGGTTGCTGGAGGGAAAGTTGGGGGGATGGGGTCACTGGGTGATGGTATAAAGGAGGGCACGTGATGTAATGAGCACTGGGTGTTATATGCAACTAATGAATTATTGAACACTGCATCTGAAACAAATGATGTACTGTATGTTGGCTAATTGCACTGAAATAAAAAGAAAAGAGAAAAACTGTATCTAGTTGCATTCTAAAGCTATTTCATTAAGTCTCTGCTTCTTCAAATTATGTCAGTTTGTACTTTAAAAGTAGATTGTTTAAAAAATATTAGCCTAAGTAAACTAAAACTGAAAGTTTAATTCTAGCAAATGAAGAGCAGAACCTAAAATGTGGTTAAGACCCTCGGTTAAATTTTGCATATTTGCAAACCTGTCCTACCAGAGCCCAGGGCACACAAACACCCACGCTTTGAGCAGTGCTGCCCGCTTCTGTCCGAGCACAGAACGGGCATCTGGAGGAGCGATACTGCCCACATCATCTTTATAAGAAGCTACGGTCAGGTGATAAACCAGGAACCAGCTTCAGAAGTTAATGACTTTGCCCCAAACTGCACACATTAGGAAAGTGTTCACAGGCAATTTGCCAAATGGGTCTACTTCCCAAGGTTCCACACTCCACGTTACAGGAAGGTACCGCCTGTGGTTCTCAGCATGCAGCTCCGTCTAGTCAGTGACACGGGGGGCGTGGGCCCACGGTCCATGCAATGGAGCTGGTGGTGCCTACGTGTGTGTGCTCTGATGCACATCACCGGACTGTCTCACACAGTCTCAACGCTCTCAATGTCATGACAGGGGAACAGTGTGGGGACCCTGCACTTTGATGTATGCAATCTGTGTGCACACACATATGCACGCGGGTGTGTATGGACATGTGTGCGTACCTGCGTGAACGGAACGGTGACCTCGACCTGCTCCAACAATCATAAAATTTAGGTTCCTGAAGGAGGAACGTTAATTTACGTGCTCCACACAGGATTAGCAACAAGCAGCCTCACACCTGCCCCATCTAGAACGGCTGTCTGCACTGGCCGAAGCGTCTGTCCTCTGTATCGAGAAATTAGCTCTCCCAGAACTCAGAGTTTTGAAGAGCTTTGAGCCCAAGGAGGAGGCATAAGAGAACATACTCCCTTTGCTTTTAAACACATTTGGCATTTCTCTGAGGCAAACTCTGAGGCAATAAAGACTAAGTCTAGATTCTTCAGAAAACTCCCACCTTTTTCTAGAAAAGAAATGACTTTTAGGAAGGGGTTATCTTTCCAATTGTATTTGTGAGTCTGACACCACGAGAAAACTGGCTGTAAAAACAAATCAGCCTTAGATCTGTTGCCCAAAGCGTGGTGGCCAGCCTGTGCCCCACGGCTCCCCACGTGTGTCTCGCTCACCACGCGGGACAGCCCGGGTCAGAAGCGCGGTTCTCAGGTACGAAGCAGGCGGCACGTCGATAAACTATTCCATTTCAGCAACACTCCCTCCCACCCCGATCTGTGACAAAGGCACAGCTCTGGCCACGGATGGGCAGCACTGACCTGCCCGTCGGTGCCCGGCGTCTTGCCGAGCTTTCGGCCCCGGGGGGGCGAGCAGCTGCCCGCCCCACCCCCCGCCACAGGACGCCCCGGGCAGAGCACCCCGGACCACGTGCGGGGAAGGACGGGCGCCGCCCCGGGGTGCTGGGTAAAGTGGCAGGACGGGCTGTGGTCAGACGCGCGCTGGGCGAACAGCGCGGCCGCCTGCGCGCGACGGAGACGGCAGCCGCCGCCGGCGGACGAGCGGAGGAACGCTTTCCGACCGGAGCTAAGGGCACACGAATCGAGATTCGTTTCAGCCTGGACCAGGCAGGCTCACTTCGTGAGGGATCGGGACGCGTCCCGAGGGGCGAACCGGGAGCTGCGCGTCGGCGCACGGCCCCGCCACCGCTGGGCGCGCTACTACGCTAAGGATTACCATTGTCCTCGTCCTCCTCGTCCTCCTCCTCGTCGTCCTCCTCGTCCTCCTCGTCCTCCACGTCCTCCTCGAGCTCGTCCTCGTCCTCCTCGTCCTCCTCGAGCTCCTCCTCGTCCTCGCGGTCGCCCTCCTCGTCCTCCTCCTCGTCCTCCTCGCGGGGCTCGGCCTCGTCGTCTGAGAACTCGTCCTCCTCCTCCTCCTCCTTCTCGTCGCCGTCCTCGGAGCCCTCGCTCTCGTAGCACTCATCCACCGAGGAGCTGTCGGCCTTCACGGCAAACGGCTTCCGCTTCGCAGCGGGCTCTTGGGGCTGCTTGTCCTGTGTTTTTCTTTTTTTAGCCAAGGGGCAGCCGTACACACTGCGGGGAGAGAGAGAGAGACATGTGGGTGTCACTGTCTTCGGAGGTTAGAGCACCAGGAGCCCTGGCCCAGCTGAGGCTCGGCGCGAGCGCCACCCACGCGCTGCAGGAGGGTCTGAGCACACCCCCGAACATGCCCCGCCACCGCCACCCTGGTCGCCCTCCCCGCTCTCGGCGACGGCCGCCACAGAGCGACGCGGGGCTCCCATGCGGTTCAGGAGGCCGGTTTGTGAGCACTGCCTCCAAATCATGCAGGTGATGACACAAATTCACTCTCTTAAACATCTGGCCAGATACGCATTATGTGCGATGCACATTTTACAAGAAGCCTTGGTTCGTGCGTAGTATATTAACATACACTCACTTATGTGACACAAAAAATACGTGTGTTGCAAGAAAGCTTTGGATGTATTTGGATTTTTCTATTCTACAGACAACATGGCGTCTGTAAACATAACGAAGTCCTCAAAGAAGATGAACCGTGAACACCTGTTGCTGAGAACAGCCGCACGATTTAAACATACGAGGAATTTCATCAGTCCCATCTCAACTTTACAGAAAACAAACTCAGTGTGGACGCAGTTGTCCCTAAATCATGCTGAAATTGGCCCAAACTCGGGCAAGACACTTAGAGCAGGACCCCCACCCTTTCTCCCAGGAAGGACAATTTTCCAAAGGGATGTTGCTAATTACAGTTCTTGTCTTCCTAGAAACCCTATAGATATACCACAAGGAACAAGGGGGGAAGACACAGAGGCACAAAGACAGATGTTCCTTTTGTCTAAAATGAGATGTGTGATCCCCATGACTGACAGAACAGTCGGTAGGACTCTGATTACTTTGTTTTCGGACCTGAAATGTGGAATGTTTATCCAGTCTCATATGGACACATTTTCAGTGTCTCCCTGGTGCTGGACCCCGGGCCCCGCCAGACTCAGAGGGGAAGGATGCAGACGTAGACAGGTGCGAGCAAGACCATGCTGGAAGCGTTCGGTGTGGTTTACACGTGCACCGAGTACCTCATGCATGGGCACGCAGGAAAGGGTTGTCGAATGAGCGGATGCGTGTGATGGTGCTGTGATAAAGGCACGCCGAGGGCGCTACATTACAAAAAAAGAGGGAGGGACAGTGGGTCAAGGGAGCTAGGACTTGCCCCAAAAGGATGAGGCTGGGGGACTTTCAAAGGGGATGCATGGAGCTATTTAAACGCATTTCAAGCAAAACAGAGACTTTGCAAAGATGTGAACATAAGAAAGAGTATGATCAGTGCAGAAAACAGACGTAAAAACCAAACGTGGGTGTTTAGGGCATGTGACGGTGGGGCTGGCGGGAAGGTGGCAGGTGTGTGCCGAGGTTGGATGCGGCAGACCAGCCGGGGGACTCGGAGACGCGTCTCAACCCTGGGAGGGGCATGGCAGAGGGTAGGAGAGGTGGTCACTGTGCTGACCTGGTGTTGGCTGAGTGTCCTCAGAGCCTCCGCTGGACACTCAAGTGCCTGATGGGCTCTGGGGCCCCCAGCAGTGAGAAGAGGAGCGAGTTAGACCCACGGCGGAGGGGAGGGATGCGCACGTAGGAGGATTCTGTTTAGACTATGATGCGTTTGAGCTGCTGTGGCAGGTCTCACAGAGTGAGGGGGTGGACAGATACTCGACTTTGTACTTCAGGGTCCCCAGCTGTAACCGAGCATCTTGCACGCTTTTGCTTTAGGGATGGAAGGAAAATGTTAGTGCAGTGCCTGGAGCCTACACAGGACCCAGTGAAACATGGTGACTGCTCTTAGATCATCATCGCGATTTGCCTTCCTGCTCAGGAAGCCAGCAATCCAGCAGGCTTGTCCCTCCGCACAGTTTGGACACTTACTATTGTGCTGTTTGTCACCCCTATCAACACTTCCCAGACAATTCAGACCGGGAATGAAAGGGAATGGTAATTTTTTCATGTCTTAGAAAATGATTTCTTCTGGTTGCTTGGGCGCATTTCATACTCAAGTAAAGATGACATGATTCGTCGGATGCCCTGGAGGACACTGGCATGCATTGGTGCCCAGAGTTGAGGGACTTCATGCCCATCCTAGTGTGACTGTGGTCAGTCCCTTCTTCATTGTGGGTGTCCCTTTCTTCATCCGTAAAGTGAGGGCCACTGGGTGACTGCTGAGACTCCACCACCTCCAAAACCCGGGATGATTGGTCACCTGCCTTTTGAAACTTAGCATCTCTTATAAACGTAATAATCAAAACAAGAATAATACTTACTATAACCAGAAAAAACCTGAAGAGAATACATATTGGTCTATATAGCATTTCTAAGATGAAATAAACAGAGTTCTGAGCTTTCTTTTGTGTGACTCCACGCACGGGGGAGACTGAGTCAGGGGCCTCAGACACACATGGCAGTGCCTTGGAGGACTGGCTCCCCCTGCCTTGCTGTCCACCCCCTCGTGCTGAATGACCACCTGACAGCGAGTTGAGCCCGAGCTCCACACCAGTCAGGCTTCTGGGGAGATGGCCTTGGTCAGGAGCCTGCTGATGTGCCCAGTCTGTGTTTGTCCAAATGAAGACTTAGCAGTAAGTGGCCTTGCTCTTGCAGAGTCGGCCCGCAGTGTCCAGGTCATGATGTCTGCTGGTACCTGCCCATCAGGAGCTCTGTTCTGCATCAGGGTTACCTGCATAGCAGGCGCCCACCAAAACAGAACACCAGGCCTCCCGTTTACCATCAGACTCATCTAGATTGCTAGGAAGTGATGTACAACCAGCCAACTCTATGCTCTTCAATGATACTCCTCAAAATGCACCACCCCAACTGGCAGTGGGAGACTCCTTCAAACGGATAAGGCAGCACCACGGCTAGGATTCCTGTTTTATCTCCCCTCCCATCCGCACACACTTAGCTGCCCGAGATCTCCAGAGGGCCCACTCGTGGCTCAGACCTTAAATGGCCGGGGAGGAGTGTGCAGATTATCCTTAAAACAGAGGCTGCAATTAGAAGTTCACAGAACTGGACTTTGCTCTGGATAGACAGGCCGCTGGGATTCTGGAAGGTGGCCTGTCCGGCCCCTCCTGCTCTGGTTCGTTTTCCCATCTCCTGGTGCCCACCACGGCTCCCTGTCCTGTCGAGCCCTTTGCGGTGGCGAGCCAGGGGAGTGGGGGAGGGGGGAAGGAAAGGAGGGAGAGTAGAAACATCGCTGAGTCAGATGGTGGGAGAAGCGTGGGTGTCTGCCCGTCACCGCCTGAGCCTGAGCCTCACCTAGCGGGTTCCGGTGTCAGCACACGACACATTTGGCAGACAGGGTAACAACATGGAGGGAAGAGCCCTGCATTCCTGGCTCAGCTCTGTTAACGCCTGGATGGGCTCCCGGACACTGGCTGGGCCTCAGTTTACCTATCTGTGTAATGAAAGTGTTGCCGGTCCCTTGACTGTGCTACAGTTTCAAAGCATTCAAAATTCCTAAGTGATCTCCTTATTGTTCCTATGAAGTATAAATTCCATCATCTCCTACTCTGTTTCTATTTATGATTTTGGAAACCATTTCAATTAAACTTCGTACTGTTGGAGTTAGCTGACCTCAAACATCCAGTACCTACTGCTGATTCGCATGGCTTGATGCTCAAAGTCTCCCTGTGTCCATTAACGGTAAATCATGTCACACACTTATTGCAAACACATTCCGTTTGCCCCTTTCCTATCGGATCCAGTCTCACTGGCCACCAGCTCCTGGTGCCTACTTTACATTTGGGAGCAAAATCCAAGCCCGAAAGGGAGATTTTATTCATGTGTCAGACAGTAGGTGGATCAAGAACCTGCTTGAGTCCACCGAGGCCTCCTGGTCTATGAGACCCAGGGGTTTGGACTATTTCAGAGTGCAGCCTTGGAGGACAATTCTGCAGTGTGAGTCTGAGGAGTGTGGGTCCTCCGGAACCCACGTTCTGTGCATACCCTGTCTGCTGATGAGGTGGCCAGCCACCTGGGAGCAGAGAATCCGCACACCCATGAAGAGCAGGTGCTGCCTCCTCTCCATGGCTGGTGCTACCAATCCAGGGACTGTACAAGTCAGCGTGCTTCATAACTGCATCCCACTCAGATTCATCTGGGCTCACTGCTACCAGCACATACGAGTCTTTCTAAGCAGACAATAGAAACCCACAATCCTGGAATGTCTCCACTTTACAGAAAACACACGGAATGCATGGTGGAGTCTAGGAATAACTGGGAAGCTGACACCAAGGTGAAGCTCCAGGTAAACGGACGAGGCAGGTGTGTGGCTGGCCGTCCCCCACACCTCCCGCATGTGGGAGCACCTGAGTTCAGCTGAGTGTCTGGGGTCATTGCTTCAGTCTCCAATTCTGCTCCTCGGTAGGACAGTCAGCCTCGCCCAGCTGTGTGTTTCCCATGGGGAACAGTGCAGCCTTGCTGATGGCCGGTGGTCAAGGAGTATTTGTTGAATGAACAGACCATAGTTTTCTCCATTTATCAAAAATGAAAGCACTTACCCCGTTCTGGTGTGATTATGGGTTCTCCTTCAAGAGACTGAGGAAACAGCCTGTGTTTAACAGCTTGTTACATTTTAGAGCTGGAGTGTCTGGTACAGTTCAGCTGCTAGTCATGTGTAGCTATTTAATTGAAATTAAAGAAAATTTAAAAAATTAACTCCTCAGTCATGCTAGTCACATTTCAAGTGTCCGGTAGCCACAGGTGGTGAGTGGCTAGCATATTGGTGATTTCCACCACCACCACCAGTTCAGTGGGCGGGTCTGAGCCACAGTGGGTGCTTGGCAGGTACTTGCAGAATGAGCACCTGATGGAGAGGACAGTGGTTACTGCAGGAAGAAGAGGAGGATGGCAGGGGAAGGGCGGAGCCCTGGGAGGTCGCCCAAGGTTCCAGAACTCTGACTTCAAGAAAGCTCCTCCTCCTCCAGTCACTGAAGGGAGTGTATTCTGTCAGAGCGGCAACGTCAGACTAGTCCACCCTGAAGGTCCAGGCCGATACCAGCGGGGAGCCTTCA